TATGGCTTTTCTTCAAACGCTATGTCATGGATGACGAGTTATCTCAAGACTAGATCACAGGTTGTTTATATCAATGGTCATTTCTCTGAACCCTCTGTACTTCAGTGTGGTGTCCCTCAGGGAAGTTGTTTAGGCCCGCTTATTTTTACACTGTTTACGAATGACCTACCTTTGTCTGTGTTAAGCAGTACACCTGAAATGTACGCAGACGATACATCTATCTACAAAGCCGGTAAGACTATAAGTGACATCACTGTAGGTTTGCATTCCGACCTTGTAAGTTTATCAGACTGGGTTTGCATGAATAAACTTGTGTTAAATATTCTTAAAACCAAATGCATGCTTTTCGGAACCCCACGTAGGCTTGCTAATATACCTGACAATTCACTAGATCTTGTTATCGGTGATGAGAAGGTTCAGGAAGTGAGGGAGACAGTTTTGCTTGGGCTACATATGGATCGGTCGCTCACCTGGAATTTACAGGTCACTCACATTGCCTCAAAACAATCTAGAAACATCGCCTTATTGAGAAGACACATGTGGGCGATGCCTTTTGCAGTTTGTAAGGTTGTTGTTTGTGCACTGGTTTTGTCAGTGGTACAGTATTGCGCACCAGTTTTAGCTAGCATGTCAGTCTCTAACATGCGCAAACTGCAAGTAGTTCAGAATAGGGCTTGTAGATTATTATTGAAAGTGTTGCTCCTGATACACCTACCAGGCAGATGCATATTGATCTTGGTTGGCTGACTGTGAGTGAGAGATTCTCCTCTAGCACACTGGTTATGTTCTTTAAGATTGTCACTAGTCATGAACCACAGTATTTATACAACTCCCTTGTGCCTGTTCATGTATCTCACATTCACAATACCAGATCTGCTGCACAGTACAACTTTAGATTACCCAAACCTAAGACGAACAGTAAGAAGCGCTCATTCCTGTATCGTGCTATATCGTTGTGGAACGACCTACCTTATCATGTCAAGACACTGAGTAACCTTCTCAAGTTTAAGAAAGCCATAGTAAACAGTGTCACATGAAGCCGACCTCTAGTTTTTAAATTGTTAATATTCATTTATGCGTTCCTTTAATGGATGTTTGATGTATTTTTGTCTTTTTAAACGTTTCACTGTATCTTATGCACTATTTCCTATGTATATAATTATGTAACGATGTGCCTGTATTCCATGTATTTGAGCCTTGGAAGACTAGCCCTGCAGGGCTAAAAGGTTTCGAAATAAATGAAATAAATGAAAAACAATGACCGTAAATCTGTCCGTAGTTGACACAGTCTGCACAGTCACAGTGATCAGGGGTGTTCCCGCAGTGTCCCCACTGAGAGCAGCACGGGAAGCAGGAGTCCGGGTCACACTCCCCGGGAGCCGCATCCGGGGCAGGGAACTCCGGACCACATCGGAGGTCGTCGCGCCATCGTTTTCCGGTGTTGTTCGCAGGCTGTTCAACTGCCGATTCTGAAAATTGAAACGGATGACACTCTATAAAAAAGGAGAATTTGGAATTAAGGGAAGTAATTTTGGATTTCCCGGAAGTGTTAATAATATATTGCTGATATGTATGGTGGAATATAATCACAGCACTTCCTGAAATCCTCCGCGCACCTCCCACTCAGTTTCGTGCTGTGGCATCTTTTGGTCTTGACCATCCTATTAATCAACTGTCAACACAACCTACCCTCTATAAAACGTCACAACACAGACAAACCACACACAGGCTTACAAGTCAGCCATCTAAAACATTACTACAGCACTAGAAAATAACGATTACTAAATGTACACATTGTTAGTATTACCTCTTCCTACTACAATGTAGTACTAAATGGTCACAACATGTCTATCCACTGGTTAAGCAAAAATGTAATTACCTGTCCCTGAAAACACCTGTACCTCACACAGAGACAGGTAGTCCTCCCGGCCGATCAGCTGGACAGACACCCACCTCCCTGAGATGGGCTCCTCACACCGCACGTCGATAGTCTCTCCTTCCGATGGAGTTTCCGAGTAAATGTCACCACATGGTGTATTTTCACGGAAGTCCTCATAAGGACCGACTCGTACCATAAAGTTTCGCAGTCGTTCTCCTGTAATTTACAGTAAAAAATGCTAAATTTCAGACAAATCCACCGGAAGCTTATTTTCTTACAAGTGTGAAGACACTGACCCATTATGTAATTTTAATCTTAGTAAATAAGGCAAATGTAGAATTTGCTCAAATTTATGACAATAAAGGCAGTGTAGGAAACAGTAGTTTAACATCTGCTTTGAGCCCTAAAGTCTAACAAACGCCCGAAGGTATAACAAATGTCCATAGGCGACAATTCTTCGTGCAGTTTTATTTAGTTTGCAGATTAGGAACAATTACTATACTATGTCACTGTGTATGTAAACAGTGTGTGAGCATCCGGTAACAAAGTGTCGTAAAACGGCTAAATCTCTGGTCACATATATAAGATCTAGCCTGGAGGCCGATGTCGCAGCGATCTTGCCACCCCACGTGATTTGTCCCCCGAAATCTCTAGCGACTTCGCCCTTCCCGGGTCGAGATCTCCAGTGATTTTGCCCTCCCCGGTAGTGAGTTTTGTCTCCCCGACTCGCCCCCTTAAGTGATTTCGTCCCCGCCAAAAAAATAATCAGTTATTTTCTCGAAAACCTCTGTTTTAGCATGTCTAAGTACACACATTTGTTGGATAAAATAACCACAGTATTTCGTTTCGGGGAATTATGTTGCATGTATACACTCTCAAAATTATTTTAGCAATGAAACAACTCAAATCCTGCGTTGATGAGATGCCTATGCTGTTGACCATAGCAACAGGGAGTACTCTACGCAAGAGGTTATTTTCCTGCTTCAAGCGAATAACATCGTTAGAATTGTTAACCAAAGTTGTGTACCTGCCATACCTGTGGGAAGGTGTAAAAGAGTAGAATAAGTGTCGGAGGGGGGGGGGGGGGGTTGAGGTCTACGGAGAGGGGGCCAAATCGCAGACGACCTCATCCCACCAGGAGGGCGAAACTGCTGGGGGCGAGATCGCTGTTACACCGCCCCCCCGCGGAACCTCACTTTCCCATCCAAGCCAGCCTAGCGGGGACCAATAGGCGGCCAGCATTTCGGCCTCACCCACAACCCGTGCTTTAGCAAGATATGGTTGAAAAAGATGTTTATTAAACTTGTTCAAAAGATACATTTGTAAATTGTTTTCTGAAATTCTTGAAAGTTGAAATTTCTGAAAGTGTCTTTGAATAGTTGAAGCAAACTAACTACCGAGCCGAGTTAAACCATTTCGGCACTGGGCTTCTGGGATCTTCTGGTGCTTACGTCGGCCGCGCGGCGTACAAAACGGTATCTTAGGCCAAGTCTTAGTGAAAATGTAAGAAAAGAGGCCGTGCAGTCCTGTCCTGCCGATAACCTTGTCCCGATTAAACTTTGTTACCCAGGCGGTATGATCTCGAAAATATGAGTGGCAGCATCTCGATACCCTTTTTAAAGACAAGGTTTGATTTGCCGATTCCGAGTTTCCAGTGCTGAAGCCGTCCGACACTGGACACCAAGTGTTGACGTACCTTCGGCACTGGAGATCTAGGACGGAAGCCGCCTCACCTCTGTATACCGAGTGCTGAGAAAGGAACCCGTTACTTCGGTACTTGCATTATTTTCACCCCCCCGGGCACACCACATGCCCAGTTACTTAAAATGCAACGAAGAGAACCATGATTTTTAGCTGGGAACACATTGGAGAACGAGTTACATTTACAACTGCAGACGACGAAACAGACATTTCTATTACACAAGCAAAACGTACCTCTGCTTGAAGGTTGCTCCCCTGCCCGACCTTTATCAATTGTTTATTGTTTATCAAAAAGTCTATTAAATATGGGGGTGCTTCTGAAATATTAAATTAACCACAAAAAAAAGATACAGTAAAAATAAAAATATGGGCATCATCACGGGGTAGTAATAAATAAGGGTAAGGATTTGTCAGAATTGGTAACCAATCAGCAATCGATATTCTACTCACCACAGCAGTCTCCTCGGTTAATGACTGTCACGTGACTGATGACGTAAGTGTCTCCAAGATCAACCTTCCACCACGGCTCGTACTCCAGGTCCGTGTGTGTGCATTCCTTTAGAGGGTACAGAATGGTTCCTGTGTTTCCGTCCACAGCTCGTTCCGCAGGATATTCCGACCTCAGCAAACTGCTCTGTGAAGCCATTTTGTTGAGTGCAACATTCGTTTCTGTCGAGGCTAATGAGAATTGTAAAGACAATATGCTTTTAAGAAACTTATGAATAAACATAGAAAAGTCCTACTACTTAAAACACATTCTAAATTGAGTAGGTATCCATTAACCTTGTTCTATTATCATCACATATAGGACGTAATGTTACTCGCAAAAACACTAACAATCCAATGTCGAGTATGGGATCTGCATTAGAATCATACATAGCATAGTTGTAATTCATTTTTTTGGATCGTATTTTGCAGATTAAAACATTTACAGTAACTGTTCCTTATAAATATGACTTTCCTTAAAAGAGCCCGGCATTGTAAGAAAATAAGTTTTTGCGCAACTTACAATTATATTACATGTATTTGAGTTCATTTTTCTATAATCTCCAGTTATAAGCTAATGCATAACACATTTCACTCATTTATGCTAGCACGCGGGCAGTGGCGGCGCTGGTATATATAGGACCCCTATTGCTAATCCATTATCAGCCTGCAACGTCCATGTATAATTTCAACATTCCAACTTTACATCAAAAAAATTTGCACCATCCCCATGTCAAGAGGACAAGTAGCATGTTGAAATTAATCCATGGATTGAGAGCAATGGTACACGCACAATGTGGTAAAATATATCACAAAAAACTTACAGACTTGAGGTTTTAAAAAATTAAGAATTTAGAACCTTCCCTCTTTTGTCGAAAGTACAATTTACATATTATATTGAGTAGAACCCTCATGCAATATGAACTGTCTCAAACTTAATAGTTTTTCAGCATATAAGCTTGCCGTCAATGCTATCTTGATGTTGGTAGTCCAACCAGTCTCTCTCTCTCTCTCTCTCTCCCTCCCGTCAGTCATTGTCAGAAGACAATGAATGTGATAGTTCCTTCCTTTTACAAATGCAGCCAGATATTGATGATAACAATAAAGCAACTTACTTCCAGTGCTAAACACAGACATCCTCCATTCACCCCCACAGAATTGATCAGGATTTCCGGTGCACCGACGGTCACATTCGCTGTCAGGAAGAGGATCTCCGAGGTCCTGAAAGTTTTGCCTCGTCCCACAGAAGCATTCTTCGGCATATTGAGTTGCTATGGAGGAATGGGAATATCATATGCCTTTTAAAGGTAAGCTATTGTCCCAAATATGATAGAAAAGTGGGGTCGTGTGGGGCAGAGTGCTCGACTCGGAACCAAGAGGTCCCGGGTTCGAGTCCTGACATGCCACCGATCGTGTGCCCTTGGGAAAGGCACTTTACACGACTTTCCTCACTTCGCTTTTTAAAGCTATAATGACTGGTTCTCTGTGAACTGATGTACCGTATATTTGGAACCCATAGGTCGGCAGCTTGGTTCACTTTGAACCAGTAAAACCTAGATGCACTGGTGAAGACGACACGCGATCATCGAAACGTCGGTTCTTGTAAACAAGTGGCCTTGAATGAAGAAATTTGACATTCAATCATTTTGGTGCTGTTACCTGAGTAGGGAAAATGGCCACTTCTACAGTGATCCCTGCAAAGAGCATTCGTTAATAACGAATGGCCCAGAAGCTGTGCGTTGGGAAACAGACGGTCAGATGTGTCCTTATAACAGCCACGGTACTGCTGGACTAAGGTTGGCCCTGCGTTAAAAATAGCGATTAGATTGGACTTCGTTAGTTTATTCGTTTATTTCGATACCCTTTAGTCCATGACTAGTCTTCCAGGGTTCAAAACATGTAAAATACGAACATACTGACAACAAAATTAAACGAGAATGAACATACATAATCATCACAAATTATATACAGGTTAAACAAAACAATCATGACTTAACTTAATATATACAACTTATGTTATACTTATACTTATATACTTATGTACAACTGGCGGATGGCCTTTTTGAATTGATGCAGACCGGTCAGTGTTTTGATACTGGGAGGCAGGGTGTTCCATAGATTAATGGCGCGGTAGAGAAATGTTCGCTTTTTGCTCCTGAGGCGGAGGCATTTTTACAGTATATTACGATCAAGCTGAAAATATTTAGAAAATTTTACGAATGCATTCCCTGGGGAATTGGTTTTGAGGTAGCCTCCGGCCATGTGGTCTTTGGACCGAGAAGGAAAGGCTTATGTTACCATGCATGCAAATAGTACGTTTTTGGGCAAACTGTGGCTTTTTGCACACAGAGTATTAATTGTCTTTCTTGATATTTCAAATATGTTATCTTCTGTCAAGAAAGAACAAATTTTGTTGCTCATAAGAAAGAATAAGGAGCAGCATATTCAAGCTTATAATGCTTCAAATATGTTTTTACTTTCAACTATATGATGCTGGTCGTTTTTTAAAATAACTTTACTGT